TTGGAAGATTAAATTACCCCCGAATGTGGGGGGGGGGGGAACACGACACGACACACATCATTTGAGAAAAAGGGGAGAGAGCGTCCAGAACCGTCCTGCATGCCTCAATAGGAAAAAGCAGAGATCAAACTGATAGCTGAAAACTCCGAGATAAAAAAACATCAGTCTTAACAAAAGCAAGATACAAGCATTGTGATGGTGATTTCACTGGGAAAGCAGTAGCAATAGCGTTGGAGCCACAATAATCTGAAGATACAAAGGAGGCAAGCTATATACAACAAAGATACACTACCTTTTACTAAGCCAAATATCATAGCTGGAACTTCAAGTCTGAAATAAGAGATTTCAGGATGTACTTATGCCTCTAAAATTGTGTCCATGTTTTCCAGCTATACAGGTTAATCTAAACAACCAGGTTTGTTTATGAAAGAAACCCCTGCAGACCCAGGGGTTGCAAAAAATTTACAAAAGCCAGGAATTAAGTAAGGTAATTTGTTCCTAAAAACAGCCTATTGAAATAATTTTTGAGAACATCTTGAACTACAATCCCTTTTTTTATAAAATCTTTTGTTCCAAACCATTAAAAAAAAAATCCAAGCTTTTTGGATGTTCACTGTAAGCAGACAAAAATCAGCTGCATCAGTATAATTACTATGCAGTTCACTGCACACAATTGCGTAAGTCAGGTGCTTTACCTTTTCCACTCTGTACTGAGACACATTATGGTTTGTTTTTGCAGGGAGGAGATAAAGGGGGGAAGGGAAACCACCTGAATACCACACAGTTAGAATTTCTGACTGGAGATATTAAAAAGAAACTAAAATTCTTTTAATATCCCTTTAAAATAGCAGCATTTAGTACATCTTAGTGTACACACTGGCCAACCTCTGAAGTGCCATCTAAATTATATTCCTCTTAGTAGCAGCTAGCTAGAATAGTTTTCTGGTCATCTTTTTTAAACAAACAAAAGTGTGTGAACATTCAGTGAATACTTATCACCCAGTAAGGTACAACACACAAAAGGCAACATTTGAACAAGATGCACAGTCACCTCTAAACTCACTTCAACAATTACATTCCAAGGCTGAATCAGGATTTGTAAAATGCTGCTTAAATTATCGCAGGAAAGGCACAAGCGAAATGCATGATAAACTGGAACTGCCTTTTCAAAGGCAATTCTAAACTCAGTGGGGTTTTGGTTTGTGTTTTAAGCTCAGGGGTCCTCAACTTCTCCCTCTTGCCAGGGAATGCAATGCTGCTACTGGCAGGGCTCCTTCAGCTACAGCAGAGAGGAAGCTGCTCCAGGCCTTCTGCCCAGTCTCAAAGCTTGCAACAGCCTCACTGATGTGGCAATCTCTCTGCTCTGGCCAGCTCTGTTGGAGCAGAATTTTTGTGTGCAACTGGGAGCTAGAAGCTTCATTTTTTTATTTCATATTAGCTAATATTTGGCCACCTAGCAGTCTCTTGGTATGGGACTGTGTCCCAGTGAAGACCTAAAGGAGTCACAGCTAGTAACCGGTGATCCTCTTCCTTCCTCTAGGATGAGGCAAAAATGAAGCACTCCATGTCACAAATATATAAAAGCTTATGTCAGTGTGTTGGGCTTAATCACCAATGTTGACTCCAGAAGTGGTTTGTCTAGAGGGAGGAGCGAGTCAAAGCATCATTCCTATGCTGGTGATGCCCTTTTATCCTGCCAATTAGCCTGGAACCACTGGCTTTGTCATCAACAGGAAGGGACAGTGATGAGGACACAGGCAGCATGTTAGCACTCAAGGTGAGGATTCTTGTCTCACCAACTAACTACTCACCATGATGATCTGACAAAATCAGTACATGGTGTTTCTAAATAAACTGGAAATTTTGCTGTTTGTTTCAGATAGCTTTGAAAACCTACCTCTCTTCTTTCACAAGACTGCATCTTGCCACCACTGCATCTCAAAGCTCTTCTCCCCGGTCAAAACCGACAGTATCAATATTGTCATAAGCACAAACAACCTTCTGTGTCACCTCTTTATGCTATACATATGATAAATATGTCCAGGTAATTCTTTGTAACCAACCACTGAGGCAGGATCTAGTTCTCTGTAATCCTAATTTTTGTTGCAGATATTATCAGATATTATTTCACATCGAAAGTCAACTTTGCTAGTGACAGTGCCATCACAACAGCAGAAGCAACACTGTAAACAGGGCAAAAAGAGCATGGCTTGCAATACTCCATTATATAGCTACACCAGTGCTTTATAGCATCATTTGATCTAAGGTCAATTTATTCTTGAATTTTAAAGTTTTCTCCCGAATGCTATAAAACCACTACTCCTTACTAAAGGCTTCATGTCCACATTGTGTGTCAATGTTCGGTTCCCAAATTCCCAATCAAATGGGGGAAACACAGGAGAGGTCTAACATGGGGCAGATGTCAAAACTTTTAAAATGTTTTTATGATTTTTCTTCCCCAACTACAACAGACACTTGTGCCATCTGGTATTTGTCTGTAACAGGAATTTTGCCAACCTGTACATGCTCCCACATTCATCTGCTTCTGTTAGGCAACCACCAATTAATTTTTTGGTGACCTTCCTTCAAAGTTCCTAAAGATGAAGGTCAAAGTAATAAGCAGAATTTACCAGCACTAAATCTTGGTGTTCTACATGATCTGACACCTTGTGTTCCTCATTTAGATTACAAAAGTTATTTTACACATTTTTGCACAGACAGAATACTGAATTAAGCTGCATATTCTTTGTCCTTAACTCCTAGTAGAGGTCACATGTTGTTATGGAGAACTTTCAACAGGGATGCAGAGAGAATAAAAAACCAGAACAAACTCATCAATGCATGCCTGACCATCATGGTCCAGTATGTAAATACTCGTTCCCAGAGAATAAAAAGTTACTAGAGACAGAACACTGATTTTAGAACAATCAAACATTCCAGTTAGCATCAAAATCTCTAGCACAGTATGAAACTGTTGTTGGAAGAAAAAGGTAAAGATTAATTCCCAAATCTCATTTTCAAATTCCTATGTGAAATTTCTTAATTAATGTATTTTACAATTATTTATCATTTTGATATTTGAACTGGCATGTTCTTTTACCTCTGAAGAAAACAGAAAAGACAGCCTTCGAACATTCTTCTATTTAGTCGTCTTCTAGTTAAACCATGCAAAAAGGAGAAAGCATGATTTGGGTACCTGGTACTGATGGTCCTCTTACTTCAAAAGTGACTTGAGAAGAGGTCATACTTGCAGAACTTTTGTCTTAGGATAGTTGAAATCTCCTATAATGGGAGCAAAAAGATACTACATTTCAGGAACAATACACTACATCTGTTGCTGTCCTAAGAGGAAACATGAATCCCACCACTTATAGGGAAGCAAGCCACTAATGATGTTACTGTTTGAGTGAGCAGTAAGAATAGAAAGCTCTTTAAAACCAGCAGCAGCCCCAGAAAATAGCATCCAGCTGCAGAAGACACTGTTGCAACACTGGTACAAGAAAAAGATTACTAAATCAAATACCATATGCAAGTATCAATATCATGTAACATTCATCAGTCTTAAGCTGAGATTTTTCAAAAACCCCTGTTCTGACTAATTTTGCTCCCAAAGAGGCCACTGGAAGTTTTACTAAAAGACATTTAAGATTATGATCTTTGGCAAGCAGTAACTTCTGACTGCTATGCTATTCTTCAGCATCCTCTTCAAAACACAAGAAAGGTTTCATAGATAAGCACTACCACCTTGATGGAAAAAGGGGAAGAACCCATGACAGATGACAGCTCTCTGCTGTCACAGGCAGTGAGTTGTTCATCACCTTGGACTCTGCGCCCCTACTAATACTTCCAGCCTTTCATATGGAGCATCAGCAACTAGAAGCACCAAGCAGACTTCAAAACACCACATCAGGAAGGAACTGCTTATAGCCTCTGTAGGCCAGGACCGCAGCTGGAAGATTGACCCTGCTTCAACTTTCTACCCTCCTCCAACACACAATAACTTGACGGAAAAAAGCTGGCAGAATCCCACTCTCCCCATTACAGCAGAAACACTATTGATGTAAAATATCCTTTTATATTATTTATGAAAGTAGTAGTCATATCAAAGTCCAAGTCTGGATGTTGCTAAGACTAACAGTCATCACCCAAGTATATTCCTTTGGACATGGGTTGCAAAATAATCATACTAATTATACGCAGAATTAACTTTGCAATGCTCTCAACTAATTCATTTCTTTGTATCACTGTGTTGGGTTTTTTTAAACCAAGCAAGTAGAACATTTTTATTGCTATTTTTGGACAGGACAAAAGCAGTTTATTTCAGTACAACGTTGGTCATCAATCCTTTAGTAACAGCTTTAATAATAATGACAAGAACTAACGACATTAGAGAGCAATCTACCTTTCATTAGCTCTACAAGCCCTTGCCTTCAAAGAGCACAGGGTAGTTTAACAGAAGCCTTGAAAGCAAGAAAAGCTAAAGAAAGTCAGATACCAAATAGGAAAAAATATAGAGGGGAAAAAAAAGCTCATAATCAATCCTCATTCCTCCCGGGCAATCAGACAGTTAGTTAAGGTCTGAAGTTTAAACACCTACACTTTTTCTGCTGGACCTTCTCCTCCTCCTCCTCTCAATCTATTCCTTTTCTAACTATTGCTGCCTTTACTTTATATTCTGTTTTCTCCTCCCTTATTGCCCTCTCTCCATGTCAAGAGAGATAACTTTTCAGTGGTAAAAGGAGAGCAAGAAAATGGTAGCAATATAGATGCTTCTGGTCATATATTCCAATTCTGCATGTAATCTTTTACAAGTAACATTTCTGTAAATGATAAATTCCCAAACTACTGAAGCTAGAAATAAGCACACTTCATAAACAGGAATTCCATGAAGGGCGCACCCTTTATGAACTTTGTCATGCATGTGTCATTAGATGGTCTGTATGTTAACAGTGACACATTCTAGCATTTATTTTTAGCAGTTATTTACAGACACAGAAGCGCAGCATGTTTCAGTGCTGAAACTAAAACTGGACTTGTGAAACTGGTCCACTATGACACAAAAAATCTCAGTTTGAAGCAGAGAATATAAACTACTGGTGTGCATTTATGATGACACTGAATAGTTCAGGGCCTTGGCTGTGTTCACTGACTGTCCTTGCTTGGACACCCTTTAACTGAAAAGGCAGAAGAGCCAAAGGTGAGAGGAAGTAGGCAAAAATGCCTTGCCAAAGACTACAAAGCAGGTAAGTGACAGCTGAAGCCTGAAAACAGTTCCCCAAAGCAAGAACAGGCTTTTGCCTTGTAAAAAAAAAAAAAAAGTTTCCTTGTAAAAAAAGCAATGCGACATTAACTCAAAATTAAACTTGATGAAAACCAGCATGTCTGTCTTACTCCAAATTAATTAACTACCCATCGGTTCTTAGAGAAAATCGGAAATCCTGTTATTAAGTCTATAAAGGTTTTAGCCAATCTTGTAAAAATTCTGTGTACCTACTTGCAAGACATTGTGGGCTTTTCTAAACTGCCTAGCAAAAGAGTATTACTTTTCTATGTAACAGTAGTTAATTGTAAGGAGATTTTGATAAACTGATTTTGTAAAGTTGTCAAAATTCTGCCCAAAAGGCATTTTGTCTTACAGACCTACTCAACCTGCCCAAGGGATGTATATCAGGAGAAGAAAAACTCTAGTGTACATCATCAAACACAGGCATGATTTTTCTAGCAGAACTGCAGCTACAGGTATTGCACTTACATTCACATTTAGGGTCAAAGTACTACCACTCATTTTGAAGAAACGTTTTCTAGCAGAGCACTGTATGTAAGCACACAGCAAGGAAAAAATAGATCTGCTTTGTGTTAATGGATCAAGCCTATGCTGTGTATTATCATGCACTTATAAAGCATTCTGTACTTTCAAGACATGACATGAAAATGCTTTATTTAGGGGAAAAAAAGCATAAGTTTAACTGTCTAGTTACTGATGGTTCCTGAGAAGAGGGAGCAGTTTAATTCCCAGAGAGAAATGGCAAGAAACCCTGGACAATCGAATCCTCTGACCAGTAGGTGTCAGCTGATCTTTTAAACCCTATGTTCCTTCCTTCAGACTTTCAGTACTGCCTCACCAAAGAAGCTGACGAAGAGTAACAAAATCCTCTCTGCTCCCCACACCTGTAAAAATGGACTGTTTGGGAGAATGTAAAGAATCCTCAGCTCAGAGGGGTCATAACTGTCTGCTTAGGGGAACTGAAACAAGTTAGAACAGTTACATTAAAAATGTTAAACGCTTCCTAATCAGCAAATATTAACCAAGTCAACCGAGCAGATTTACAAACTAGAAGTCCTTGTGCGACAAGGTTTTTTAAGCAACCTTTGGGTTCAAAAGTATTAAAGCTAAATTCACATCTGCTGCAATTACATGCATCCAAATGCTAGCCTGGGGTGCAAACAATTGCCCCTCATCCTATGTTCCACTTCCTCCCTCTGGTCAGCTTTTAGGTACTGCAACTACATGTAAGCAAGCAATGAACACCTGAACCTCAGTCATTTCCTCACAAGAAAGAGAGGTCTCACCCAGGCAGACATTCACACAATGGTATCGGCACTTCGCTAAAGAAAAAAAACGTATCTCTACCTAGAGATTCTTGCTTTTACAACAGAAACATGTTCTTTCCCCCACCATGTCACAGTTCAATTCTCTCACACTCTCCTCCTTCCACAAAGCAAACTCTTACCTTCTACAGTCTCTGAAGGCTTCCTGAGGAGATGGTGACTGCACAGCAGCAACAGCACTCTGAGCCCTGGGGCTGCACTGATCTGCCTTCAAAAGCTTGACTCAGATAACCCTGCCCATCAACCAACCTCACTGTATAAAATAGGCTGGCTGCAAGACTTCCAGAGCAGGGGCAAGATGAACAGCCTAGTAGGTAGGGTCATGTGCAATCTTGGTTCCCCTGCCACAAGACAAAGCTCTCCTCATGGTCTTAGATGGGAAGAAAAGCAACTAGGAATCTTGCAATTTCAGAAATCCACTTACTTGCCTTCATACACCCAAAAGAAAAGCAACAAAGATTTTAAGCATAGTATCCTGCAGGCTGAACAGAAGAGAAAAAATGTACTCCTTGTTCTAATATTGCCTATAAAGCTTTCCTTTCACGATTTTCTCCTCCTCATGGGCACCTGAAGGAGTACAAGAGTGACAGGAGTTAATGTACTTCCCTAAATAACAGGGAACCCAAGCTCTTCCCTCCTGATTCTAGAAGGGCACTTCTAGAAGATGCAGGCAAACAGCTGTGGACCCCTAAAGGCACTTGAAAGAAGAGAAAAGAAGACTTTTCAGACTCTCCTTCCGGCATAACACAATCAACTATTAATGTATCACAAAATATCATAGCTTTCCTCTAAAATAAGGTAGCAAAGTTCATCATGGATGGGGAAGACCAAGATAATTTTTGGTTGTAGTCAAAATATACCAGAAGATGGACTTAATTTAGTAATTCCAAGCTTGAAGTTCATTTGAACCTTCTGGCCTACAGGTCTGGTGGTATATAAAACCCCTTCAGGACACTTCAGCTTTAGTAGATTATTTCTGCTTCCCCCCCTTAATTTCCTTAACCTTTCCAATATATTTTAAGAGGTATTGGCTGTTTGCTGTCCCATATCTTACACTCAGTATTTCAGGCTTAGATAAATACACAGCAAGTAATCTGGGAGAATCCTGGAATATAATAGCCTAGCTTGCAAACACTAAACAAATTTTAGACTCATAAAAATTCATAGCATTCATAAAGCCAGATGACATGCTCTCAATACAAGCGAGACTTTTAATAGCAACTCAAATAGGTTTGCAAGGCTCTGACTTCTAATGCTCTAAGGGCAATGTTTGAGACAGGCTTGAAGCATGATGTGATCATTTTTTTCTACTGCAGAGAGTTACAAGCCCAAAGGCCTTGAACTTTTTTTGTTGTATGGACAGAAAACTTTCAAAATTAGGCAGGAAACACTTTAGGCAATGATATTAAGATATATCTGAATGAAAAGCTGACTTTATCAACTATGAGTTGACTATAAGGGCTGCAGAATGGCTGGTTATACTTAGCACTAGAAGGAAAAAATACACATTGACATCTAATGGGAGAAGAGAGGGGAGACAAACAGATCAAACCTCAGGAAATTCTACGCTAGCTTTCTAAACTGGGGGGACCCGAAGAGAAGATTTCTATTGAAAATAATCAGAACTCGTTACAAAAATAACTCCAAGATTAAAGGGGAAGCAAAATGCTACTCTTCTAGTACATGAGGGGAATCCAAAGTTTTATAAGTTCTATCCTCTCTAAGATGCATCTAATGGAGTGTGAACTAAACCAACTTCATTTAAGCTCCTAAAAGTTAGATGACCGAGATCATTTGAGACCTTGACCCTTTGCATGGACCTAGTCCATTGAGAGTAATCGGTATTTGGCAACATGCTGATGAGAAAGCCAAAAAGCAGCAGACTTACACCGAAACATAATGTGTTATGCTTCTTCTCCCCTCACCCTCCAAAAAGCCCCCAAACCCTACCTAATAAACTATTAGTAGACATTTCTGATGTAAAGCTATCAACCCAAAACTCTCTTCGGTAACATTATGTTTAAGGATGACTGGATAATACACAACACAGATTTTTCAATGAGGATAAAACACAGCTTATAAAAGTATCTTTTTAATGGGTGATTTTTTTTTTTTTAAGATATCCAGATATACAAATTTCTATAAGTACTTAATGGGATTTTTCAAAGGTAATTAGACAGACAATTAAAATGAGACAGCTAGGTACCTAGGTGCCATGATATTCTCGTAATGCATTTTAATACTTTCAAACATCTGGTTCTTAATGTAAGAACATTTTTAATCACTATATTACTGAATTTGCTTAGTTATCTGTAGAAGAATAAAGACCATCTGTGCACAAACAGGCTCTTTCATGCCATTAGCACACATTTCATCACAGACCACAGTGCAGACTACTGGTACTGCAAGAAGTAAACATATGCTCAATTATTTCAAAATATCGCTCCATTTTTTTGCACATAAAGATCAAAAGGGCAAGGACTAGAAGGCTGCAGTATTTTTGCTTATATTTTTCTGATTTTAAGCAGACATTCTCCCCCTTAAAAGTACAGACTCATGAGACCTGTCAACACCAAGGAGAGGTCCAACTCCAGCCTGAAGCAGGGGAAAGTTGCCACAGTCCCAGCCAAGTTATTTGAGAGCTGAGAGTGCACGCTGGCAGGAGCGGGGCCAATGCAGGGCACCACAGCCTCCTGCAATGTTCCTTGGGAAGCCTGCATTTGAACACTGCCACGCACTGTGGGAGAAGGTACTGTATTTACACTTTACCTTCTTGAAAGCTTTGCTATACGCAGCAATAGAAAAGCCACCACGCGTCAGATCTGGTGCTATGCTGAACAAAGAAAAGATATGAGCCTAAGCACACAAAACTGCTGGTTTAAGACGCAGTTTTGTCATTTTTACTCACAACATTAGACTCTCGAGCATAAAATATTGACTCGTTACTTCAGACTATGCCTTTAATATTTAAATGATATCTATTCAAATCCAATTAAACTTGTAGTATGAAGAACAGATTTTGTTGCTTGTGGTTGGTCCTAACAAGGTATCAGAATATTATAAAGTACACCTAAGTAACAAATTAGGTATGTAATAAAATTAAGTAACAATAGTTGACAACACCTGGATTTTAGAACAAGGTCAGAGGATGTGCTTGTCAGGACATTCACTCGAGAATTTTTAGAAACAGCATTACAGCATCAACTCCTTCATTTTCACCCAAACAACCAGAAGGTTCTTCCTGCCCCCTCCTTTCCCCCTGCACCTTGACTGCGTGAGAAAGGACTGCCACAAAGTCAGCAGCTCTCTCATACTGCATTGCAGTATTAACATTGGACAGAAAACAAACTTGCATACAAGATTTGGACATGCTGTTCTGATTCAAAGGCAGGAATTTTACCAATAGGGCTATGCTGACATTTAGAAAGAAGCAAAGCCTGAGTACTATTTCTGAAACAGCATCACATTAGTATATAGCAATAGAGAAAAATATCTTTAAGATGCTATTTTCAGTATCAATTTAACTACCCATTTGCAGGGCCAAGCCAGCCCTGGTAATCAAACACAAGATCCCTATCTGACATACTGTGTTCACCTAGAATGCATCTGCTTGGTTTTAAATAACAAGAACCTAATGGTTTTCAGCATTTTTTAAATTCCTGTCCATATAGCAGACTCTTCTGTCTTAGCTATGTCACAACAGTTTTGTAGACAAAGTTCTTGAAAAAATGGTTGGGGCATATTTGCAAGTAAACCAGAACAGCCTCAGTTTGATTTCTCTTTGCTGAAGTGTTGTTCATTATTAACGTGTGGCTGACAAGATCTTAACCAAGTAATTTAGCTCTTTGTGATCATACTAACATTCCTCACTTAGAAATGACATGGACAAATAACATGTCTAATGCTCCCCACAGTTCTCAGTACTCAATACAACAACAAGCAACTTTTTAAAAGGTTTTCCAAAGCCTGTATCCATTTTATTGAGGAGCACCCTGCTTTACTAAGAGATTAATTATGTGGCAGTTTAGACTAGTAGCTTCTGTTCAAGACAAACAGCATTCCCTTGATTTTTTAATATTTTCTACAGTTATTTTACAGGCAACAGTGCTAGAATAGAAATACATACAAAAATCTGTAAGGAAAAATATCTTTTATGATAAAAAATAATTCCATTTATCAACTATTTCACTCTAACATTAACATTTAAAATATTTTGAAGGCTAATCTCCACCTAACAGTGCATGCTTTAATGAATTAAAAACACTGACAAGTAACTGCAAGACAAGCTATCGATTCAAAAAGAAAGAAAGAAAAAAATAGGAAAATTAATCTGTGCCTCCTGCAACAGCCTGGTTAGGAAGCAGATAACAAAATCTAGAGTTGTCTTATTAGTCCATATGAGGTCAAGAATACTAAAACACAAGCTGTTAGTATTGTTAGCGTGTTCCTTCGCTCCAGAGCAGAGACAAAGAGCAGAGCAGAGCAGAGCACAGCACAGCACAGCACACACACCCCCACCGACCGGCGCCGCAGGGCGTCCAGCCCGCCGCACCCCGCTGGCCGGCCTGACGGGGACTTACTGAGCGCT